CTATGTTTAGTACTTTTTCCTGACCATGACCAATAACAACAAGCATGCCTGCCTCACCAAATGACCAGAAAACCACACACACCACCTCTTGGGAATGTGGTATGGAGTTCTCTAGACTGCTTCCTATTGTCTGGGGACAACAGCATCTTTTGGAGACCCTGAGAAAACTGGAATAATGGTCAGGTCCTGGGAAAGTTAGTTGTATTATTTTTTTTTTTTTTTTTAGTCTCTGTGTGATGGGAAAGTGTAAAGCTCATTTGAAGGTTTGACTGGGTAGTCTGTGAGGCTGGACCATCTCAGCCAGCAGCCTTGAAGTTGGTCTGGATGTAGAATTTTGATGAAACTGCAACAGAGGCATTCTGAGAGGCTGAATCACCAGGATATTTGTCTTTATGGTGTCTGGCCTTTTTTTTTTGTTTCTGAAAACACACAAATGTTTAAAGGTAACATATATATTAACACAAATATGGAATTTACAGTATGTACAAGTCGGCTAAAACTAGTTTTTTGTTTTATGTTACAGTAGGTAAAAGGCATCTGTCAACGTCATAAGTCCGTTTGGACTGTATAACTAAACCTCTATCCATGCCATATGAAAGGATGGCATGTAATAATACATCATGAGGTCTCTGTAGCCAAGAAGCTTTATCATGTCTCATCCAGTCTCAGAGCTGTTCTTATGTAGAGGTATCAGCATATAGGTTGCCTGTTCTGTAGTCTTTCTTGGTTTCTTTTTCATGTCTATAGCAAAGATTTTTAGGAGGTCTCCCCCAATCTAATCTTATCTTTATTAATTTTGAAGAGAACCTCCAAAGTGCTGGGATTAAAGGCATGCACCACCACTGTCCAGCAAGGATTATTATTTTTATATTACTTTACTCTCTCTTTGAAGACTTTATTATTTTCAAACTCTTCATTTTTCCTGTGACTGTCTATTCCCATTTTTACTATATCTGTTTAAAGGTTTTCTTGGTCTGCACACCTGCAGCCTTCTCTGACTGTAAGACAAACCTTCAGTGGCCATGTCAGATACTTGGCACACCTGGCAGCTATGGCAGCTGACTCCATCCCCCTCAGTTTGGTGAGAGTATAGCCTCATGCCTGCAGGCCCAGCCTGGAGTCAGTCTATGCTCCAGTAGGTACCCCTACCTAGTCTCCTGCCACCAAGTGGTACACTGCCTGCTGCTTATAAACCGCATTCCAGTGCTTGGTAGCAGCACCTCTTGGTAGCAGGGTCTGCAATTGCTGCAAGCAAGGAGCCTACTAGGAACTTGTTTTTCAGCTTTCTCAGGTCCTGTGTTGTTAAGAGAAGCTTTTTCTTTGCTAGCCGCTTTGGTTTATCCCCCGCCAGTCGCCTGGGCTCTGCCGCGCCAGCCTGTTTCGAGATCCGCATGAGTCCCAAATAAACACACAGGAGGCTATATTAATTATGAAGCTGTTGGCCTTGCTTGTCCCTTACTGGCTAGCTCTGCCTTAAGTAATTACCCCATAATTGTTAATCTAAGTATGTTTCTTACCGGAGAATAGTTCCCGGCTTCCTACCCCCATGGTGTCACATGTCGACTCTCTTGTCTTTCTCCTTCCCAGAGTTCTCCTGGACTCCTAGTCCCTCCTATCTAGGTTTCCTATAGGCTCAACGGTACTTTATTGACAAATGCACAGGACTTCCCCCAACATCTCCTCTTTTCTGTTTAAACAAAAAGAAAGGTCTTAACTTTGACATAGTCAAATCATATATAACAGAACAGTTATCAAGTAAGAATACAGTTGTAATATTTTGTCTATCAACATTTAGCAAGATTTAAAGAAAATATCATCCATCCCATTCTTGTGAGTACAAAGTCCTATATGTAGCTTTTCTTTTATCATAACTAAGGAAAACTATAATTATAACTATCTGTCTTCAACTCCATCAAAGACCACAGAAGGATAATATATAAACACTAGGATTGACAGAGACATCTTACTGCCTGGACAGTCACCCGAAGTTCCTCTGTAACGTTGGGGCATCCATCTTCAGCCCATAGACCACAATGTGTCTGGAACACTTCTCAGCAAAGCAGGAAATTTCAAACTGTCCATCTGCGTTGGCAGTCTGTCAGTCATTTTTCTTTGTCCTGCAGAAAGTCTCATAGACTCTTCATCAAGCAGGAACCCTGTAAGACTGAGTTCAGTAGTCACTTTCCTGTGGGTCCTGCATGTCCAGATGATACAACAACAGTCAAACAGTGTAGGCAAAAGCAGTTTCTTGCCCAAATGGCTAATCTTGCCATGTTGAAAGCAAACTCCATATCAAGTTTCTTCAATGCCCATCTTCCTCTCAGATATAATTGGTGCTGCCAGGAGCAGACATTTCTCATTGTCAAAAAAAACCCTAGACCATTTTAAATGCCATGTTCTGAAGGTCTTTGAGAGGTTTGAAGACTGTCTATCTGTCTCAAATATATTTCTGTATATCTAGAAAACCTAACTTACCTAACTATAAATTCTATTATAAGTAACTATCTATAATCTGTATTCAATTATGCATTACATTTTAGAAGATCAGTATAAGCACAATGCTTAATCAAGAGGAGAAATATAAACATCACAAAATTGACCTTGAATTTGTATCAATAAATGAAAAACAATACCCATACCATAATTCCCTTTTTTACCATTAAAAGGAGATTGGCTGTGATCATTAGCCAATTATAAACAATCCCATTTAAATGAAAACAAAGATTTATAAACAAGATGGGAATTGGGACGTCGCTCATTCCAAACTGCTTCCTGCTGGAAGGGGGCGCTGTTCACACCATGGGGATCATGACAAAACTCAGAAACCTGTATAAGTCCATATTTTCAGGGTCTGTAAGGCTGTATCATCTTAGCTGTTTCAGTCGTTGAAACACCTGGTCCACTGCTTCCGGGGGTCTTGGTTCGTGAAACCACAAAAGCCTGGAAGGAATCCTTAGCTTTTCATTTTCTGTAGAAACATAAATAAAAACTCCTTTTCCGAGTAACATATCCTTATGCTTAAATTTTGAAGTCAAGGTATTTTCAAAAGATATAAGTTGTATTAATTTAGCAGCATTTATAATCAAGTGTACTTTAGTAGCAGTTCCTTCCTGAGCAAGCAAAAAACTGAAAAACACAATAGCGTACAGTATCCAGACTCTCTGTGTATTTTCCATCTTTACGTGGCTTTTTTATTTATCTATTATTTATTTATTTTACTTTTATTTATTTTTCTTTGAGACAGGATTTCTCTTTGGAAATCTGCCTGCCTCTGCCTCTGGAGTAAATCGTACCAGCGTGCGCCACCACAACGCCGGCTTTTGTATTTATTTACCACTTTGCCGTTTCATTTTCTCTCTCAATCTCACGTATATTTTTAAACACACTGTAAACCTTTAGAAGTTTTTCTGTATCCAAGTCTGACTTTACTGTAAATCTTTATGTTTTTCTGGCCACGTGTCTTATATGTAAAACTGCGGCTGTTTTAAACTGCCATTTCAAGATGGCGGGCGTAAGCATGATTCCAGCTTACTGCCTCAGTCCATGCTGATATCCAGCAAAAGCTGCCACTTCCAGCTGTACGTACACACCTTTTAATTGTTAGCAGAGTCTCTTAAAACAACCTTGCTGGTTTTTTTTTTTTTTATGCCAAGTCAGGAAGACTCCGGTAAGCGAGCCACGTGAATCTCGGCTTGTCGCTAGCAAAACAGAGCACACCTGAGAAAATGCTGCTACCAAAATCTATGCTTCTCTCCGTTCTTCTGTTTCTAAAATTCCTTTAAAGCTTTTGTTGTTTTGCGTGGAAATTCAATCCCACTCCTGACAACCATTATGTTAAGAGAAGCTTTTTCTTTGCTAGCCGCTTTGGTTTATCCCCCGCCAGTCGCCTGGGCTCTGCCGCGCCAGCCTGTTTCGAGATCCGCATGAGTCCCAAATAAACACACAGGAGGCTATATTAATTATGAAGCTGTTGGCCTTGCTTGTCCCTTACTGGCTAGCTCTGCCTTAAGTAATTACCCCATAATTGTTAATCTAAGTATGTTTCTTACCGGAGAATAGTTCCCGGCTTCCTACCCCCATGGTGTCACATGTCGACTCTCTTGTCTTTCTCCTTCCCAGAGTTCTCCTGGACTCCTAGTCCCTCCTATCTAGGTTTCCTATAGGCTCAACGGTACTTTATTGACAAATGCACAGGACTTCCCCCAACACTGTGTGGATTTGCATGCCATGCATTAGGCACCAAATGTAAAGAGTCTTTTTCTGTCCCTCCAGCCAGCTCCCAAATAATGACATGGGGACTTATTACTAATTATGAAAGCTTATCTTAGGCTTGTCCCACTAGCTCTTACATTAACCCATTTATTTTAATCTATGTTCTGTCAATGGCTCAGTTACCTCTGACCTGTACCATATGTCCAGCCTCTTTAGAGTCCTTCTGGTGTCTCTTGTGAGCCTAGATTCATCTCCTACTTTCTCTCTGCCTGGAAGTCCTGCCTATACCTCCTGCCATTCAGTTTTTTATTACACCAGTCATAGCAATACATTTTTACACAGTATACAAATATCCCACTACAAAGAACAAAATGCTAAGTTCTGTTTCTTCATGAGGTGTGATATGGTCTAGCTTATTCTTATTTTATATAATACATACATATAATATAGAAATAGTGCCTTATGTAGGTATGCTTAAACTCAAAATAAATAATACTTTTAAAACTGGCTTTGGTGTGTTGATTTCACATGTTGAGTGTTTCAGCATATGGTGGATGGTTCCAGTAGCAAACGTGTCTATAGTGACTTTGTTTTACACTGTGATCACAGCTGTGAAACCCATACATCTTCACAGAGACTAAGAACTTCTTCCCCATCTTTCATTCAGGCGAAGGTACAAGTAAGAAGCTGGCGAAGCACAGAGCTGCAGAGGCCGCCATAAACATTTTGAAAGCCAATGCAAGCATTTGGTGAGCTACATTTCTTTGTATTCTACAGCTCAAAATTTTCATGGCTGAGGTAAGACGAAATATTTTAACATGCTCACAAAAGCAACAAAGTGAACAGTTGTTAGTATCTTCACTCTAAAATTCCATATCTGGGAAAGCCTGCCATCCATTAAAGACATTTTAAGCCTATTAAATCTGGCAATAGCTATTAAAGGAATGCTGTCATGAACTAGGCTTTAGTGGTTCGTGTTGGGGTGCAATCTGTATTTATGGCTGACATTAATATTCTTAACATGCAGGGTATTAATTTGTTAATTGATTATTTGTATGTTAAAGAAAACAAGGTATAAGATGGGAAAAGGTCAGTAAAAATAGTCTTTTTTCTTTTAAAAGATGGTCTTGCTTTGTTTTCTGTAGCCTGGCTGGCCTCAGATTCACTACGTAGCCCAAGCTGGACTCCAACTAATAGTCCTCCACCTCATCTTCATTGATGCTAGTATTATAGGCATGTATCACTCTACCTCGTTGTAAGTACTCTTAGGAGTTTTCATTTGGAAGAAGAAGGCAAGGTATACCTTGCCTGTGTAAAGTACAGGGGTCTGTTAAGTGGGGTAGTAATCCCAGACATGTCTACTGTCAGTGGTTTTAGAAAGAGTATTGCTCTTACAGCATCGTATGTCCCATAAATGGTGTCTTTGATTTACACTGGGCACACTGTGGAACACAGCATGCCTTCAGTTTCCTCTCTGACACACACCCAGAGATGCTTGGAGTTCAGTCATGTGTAATCTGCCCATAGCTGGCCAAAGGGCCAATGGGATTTAGGGTAGACTGGGCTTTTTGTTCTCTAGACAGAGTGAGACTTACAGATTTAGGAATGTATTTAGGTTCCATGCAGTAGCTCTCTCTTTATCAGTCATTCTAAAGCTTTGTGGTAATTTAAAACTAGTGACCTGTTTACCTTCATGGTAAGTTCTTGCCTCAGGCCAGCCTTGAACCTCACAAGGTGATGCTCATCCCTCTGTATACAAGTGACTTAAGATGGCTTTCAGGTCGCACTTCTTGTAGTACAGCTTTTGAGCCCTTCCACCTGCTGGTGGTGGCCCTTCTGTTCTGTGCAGCCCAAAGGTCATCCCGGAGTGTTGGGTACACTTGTTGAAACCAGCAAACAGCATGTCCTCTCTGCACATGGGCGCTTCACTTTGTCACCATGATAAGGCTAACAAACTTTACTATGTATTTGTGCTTCTTGACAGATAAGATGAGAATTACTAAGCTGTAATCAGGCCTACAGTGGTCTGACTTAATACAGAGACTTTCTCACTTCTCCATCCCAATTATTTGCGTAGCTTCGGCATGCAGCATTGTAAGTGAATACGCGTCTATCTCGTCAGCCTGGGCTAAACTTGGCAGTGGAGGAGATGGCAGTAGCAGAACCTCATGTGTCACGGCAGAAATGACTCTTGAGTTGCTTGGGTCATTGTCAGCATGGAGCGTAGCCTTTTCAGAACTAGGCATTGATTTCCCAAGTAATTTCAAACTCCCCACACACGTTTAAACCACACTCATATAGGGCATCTACTTTATGTAAGGTGTGTCACAATCTCAGAGGATTAAACTTATACTGAACAGATGAAAGAACAAATTTTTCTTGCCTTGATATGTGGATGGAAAAACATTTATAGCCTTTGTTACTACTACATTGCTAGAGCTAGACTTCCTGACTAATGGTTGTCCTTTTTTTTTCTTAAACATTTTTAAGGGGTTGGAGAGATGGCTCAGTGGTTAAGAGTACTGGTTGCTCTTCTTGAGGTCCTGAGTTCAATTCCCAGCAACCACATGGTGGCTTACAACCATCTATAACTGTAGTCCCATGGGACCTGATGTTCTCAGACAAAACAACCATACACATAAAGTATATAAATAAAAGTAGTTTTAATAGTAATGTATATCATACATACATATACATATATGTATATATATGATTTTAAAGAACTTCATACATGCATCTATATCACTCCTGCCCCTCTCCCCTTCTCCTTGTCCAACCCTCCTCTCCATCCCAAATTCATGATCTCTTCTTTTTAAGTATTATAGTTACATGAACTTTTTCTGAAACTGTATTTAAATTTATTTATTTTACTCTGTTTGATGAATGTTTTGCTTGCAAGTATGTATGTGTACTGCATGCATGCCTGGTGCCCACAGAGAACAGAAGGGGGTATCTGATCCCCTGCAATTGAAGTTATAGGTGGTTGTTAGCCATCCTGACCCCATGAGAACTGGGAACAAAACCCAAGTTCTGTAAGAGTAGCAAGCTTTTCTTTTACCACAGCCATCTTTCCAGCCCTCCATATGTACATTTTAAATATTTTTATTAAGTATTGGTTATGTACAAAACTTACATAAGCAAGTAATGCATAGGCCCTACTACCAAGTACTATTCAGTGTGAGTTGGACGAAGTTAGGTGAGGAATGGACAGGCTGAGCGCAACAGTGAATAATTTAGGATCAAACAACTTTTTAAAGAGCCAGACTAAGGTTTTGTTTTGTTTTTAAATATAGGGTCTTGTGTAGCTCAGGCTAGCCTCAGACTTGCTGTGTTTAAGGCTGGCTTTGATCTTTCGATCCCCTGCCTCTGCATCCAGAGTGGCCACCAAGCTGGCCCCAAATGGTACAGTGTTTAGGAAGAATGCGAGATTATGATCCATTGAGGTAGAAGTATAGGCATCTGGAAATGATGCTTGACATAGCTCTTGGATGGTGGGTTCATCAGGTTCCCAAAGAAGTTGGAGTGAGGGGAATTCAGTCCTCGTAGAGCTTAGGCGGAGGAGGTTAAATAGAGAATACATTGTCATTTACTTAGTAGATCAGAGGAAATTGTGTTATCTAATAACACCTTTAAATAATGTTTAGCTTTGCAGTTCCTGACCCCTTAATGCCTGATCCATCCAAACAGCCAAAGAACCAGCTGAATCCAATTGGCTCATTACAGGTAAGTCATTTTCCCGTACTGTTCATCTACTGACCTAAAGCATAATGAGTTTGTACTACCACAAAGGCTAAGACAAGCAGTTAATATTTTAACCATAATGGGGGAATACGAGTATTTTCTTTCTTTCTTTCTTTTTCTTTTCCCTATTGTGTTTTTCAGACAGGGTTTCTTTATGTGGCTCTGACTGTCCTGGAACTCACTCTGTAGACCAGGCTGGCCTTGAACTCATAGAGATCCACCTGCCACTGCTGAGATTAATGGTGGCATGTGTTACTGGGCCTCAGCAATGAGTTATTTTGATTTTAAGTAGTGATAATTGTATTTTCCATAGCTAGCTGAGATTACTCTCTTACTAACCTGTTTTGGGCTTTCTTCTTGTTCAGTATATGCCTTTGTTTAATGGAATTGTCACTCAGAATAAGCAGACATTGGTGTAAATGGGTAGAGTATTTATACTTGGCTTAACCATGAAAAGGTCAAGAAGTAGTTGGGTAGGGAGTTTGTGCTTTAAGAATATGGCATTATTACTGCTCTTGAAAAAAAAAGCACAAAAATCTCTACTTCTGCTGAGACAGAATTTACACAGAACCATGGTAATGTAACTAAATTTAATAGGAGAGAAGTGGCCTACTTAGTTGCTTTATTCTAGCAAAAAAGGAAAAGAAAGACTATGTGTAGCCTACCTTTCTCACTGACCTCAGGCTTCAGCTCACTGTGGCACCACAGAAAAGTACTGCCAATGGCACAGAACTGCTTTGGTCTTGGCATTGTGATGTAAGAACATAAAATGTGGGAATGCCTATCTGAGGTAACAGGGTGTTCCCTCAGTTTTCCCTGGGCCAGTACTGTGTTCTTTTCAAGCACATTGCTAGGACCAGGATCAAAGAAAAATATCATTTGTGTGATTGGACCATCAAATAGTTGAAATTACTGCTATAACCCATTGATTTTACAGGAATTGGCTATTCATCATGGCTGGCGACTTCCTGAATATACCCTTTCCCAGGAAGGAGGACCTGCTCATAAGAGAGAGTATACCACAATTTGCAGGCTAGAATCATTCATGGAAACTGGTACTTGATTCTTACAATTAGGGGCATTTGCAGTATTTTCAGATGGTGAATTGCCATAGAAATTTCTGTTGTGTAGGTTTTTGAATATTGTCTTTGACTGTCTGAAAATAGTTACGTTTCTTAATCTGATGTTTTTAAAATGAGGTTGTAACTGAAAAGACAGGCAAATGATAGGTTCTATGATTTAAGCAGTTTCCATTGGACTAGAAAAATGAGGTGAGTAATGAAAGACTATGTGGTAAAAAAAATGTGAGCTAGTGAGGGTATTTATCTGAATGCTAGTGTTTGGTTAGGTGAGCATGTATGAGGCCCTAGTTTCAGTCCCCGCAAATCATAAAAAATAAATAATATAATAAATAGCAAAGAGATAATAGAGGCTATCCTTTTTAATTGCAGCAAATTTTGTGTTATAAAGGACATAACCTGTGAGGAAAAAAACGGTCACTTTGAAAAAAATACCAGTGAGAATTCCTATGTTAACTTCCTGGGCATGCTTTGGTCACTTCTAAAGTGGATTAAAATGGGATTGCATGAACTATGGGTGCAGACTGGTGGTAGAGGGCTTGCATAGCCTAAGTGAGGGCCTGGGTCCAACCCCCAGCACTACACAGATGAGAGGAGTAAGCTAAAATAAATAGGATTCCACCTTAGCTGGAGGTTAGACACAAATAGCCGGCCAGTGTTTACTTGTAAATGGTAGTGTGGGTCAGTATGGAAAACACTAGACCAGGAACAGGACCTTTGGTTTCTGTTCTTCCTGAAGTCCTTGACTTAAAGGGTTAAACAAACTTTTAGTACCCTCAGGGTTCTGACTTATTTATGTATTTATTGTTTAATGGTGTTGATATTAACATACAGCCTGTCATGTGCTAGGCAAGTGTTCTATGACTGAGTTGTATCTCCAGTTTTTTAAATTAGTTTTTATTTAAATGAAAAACAATTTTATTTTACATACCAATCCCAGTTCTCTCTCCTTCCAATCCTCCCACTCCTCACACCAATCCCCCATCTCTCCCCCTATCCACTCCCCAGGGAGAGTGAGGCCTCTGATGGGGGATCATCAAAGTCTGTCATATCATTTGGGACAGGACCTAGACCCATGTATCTAGTCTGAGAGAATATCTATCCCACTATGGGGAACGGGCTCCCAAAGTCCATTCATGCACTAGGTATAAATACTGTTTCTGCTGCCACAGACCCCATAGACTGCCCAGGCTTCCCAGCTGACACCCACATTCAGGGGGCCTGCTTCAGTCTTATGCTGGTTCCCCAGCTGTCAGACGGGGGCCTGTGAGCTCCCACTTGTTCATGTCAGCTGTTTCTGTGGGTATTTTTGTTTTTAAGACAAGGTCTCTATTATGTTGCACTGGCTGCTCTGGAACTTGATATGTAGACCACGCTGACTTTGAACTCAGAGATCCAGTTGCCTCTGCCTTCCAAGTGCTGAGATTAAAGGTGTGTGCTCTCATGTCTGGCTAGCCACAGTTGTAAATCTATAAAACTGAAGTATAGAAGTAGATTTTTAACATGTCTTTTAATCTCAGTATCTCCTTTAACCTTTTAATGGTTTTATTTAATTCACATAGTTGTCAGTTTATAAAAGATTATAAGAAATAGATGTTAAGAGTTAGGGGTTATAATTCAAGTGTATTTGGCAAATCTAATTGGTCAGAATTAAACCAAACATGATTCATGTGCCAGGTATAGAGAATAACTTTTTCAGTGCTATGAAATTTCCAAGTATAATTTTTAGAGAAAAACTGTTCAAGAAAAGAATTACTGGGCTGGGGAAATAATTTAGTGGGTAAATTGCTTGTTTCATAAACATAAGAACCTGAGTTTGAATCCTCAGCACTCACTTAATGGCCAGGGGCTCAGATTGAGGCACATGGATTCCCTGAGGCTCACTGGCCAGATGCTGCTGAATAGTGAGTTCCAGTTCAGGGAAAGATCCTGTTTGGAAAACACAGAACAACAACAGCAGCAAAGAGAGGTGGAGAGCAACAGAGGGAGACGCTCACTGTTGACCTCTGGCCTCTCTGTGCACCAACATGGGTGGATCCAGCCACACACACATGTATTCACATGTGCACATCAGACGCACACACAAATAATAGCTATAACTATTGTTTGTGTGTGTGTGTGTGTGTGTGTGTGCTCGCGCGCTAAATAGTGGCAGACTTAAAGGTGAATGCAGAAGGATTTTGGAAGTAGGGAATATTGAGATATATACACTATATATCATAACAAACAAGAATGTTAGTACAATAAGAAAATACTAGTTCTGTGTTTGAAAACCCTGAGGTATTCACTAACAAAACATTTGGTCATTCTCTGTGAACATTAATTTCTAAACTTTCTGTTTCTTTCTTTTATTTAGGAAAGGGAGCATCCAAAAAACAAGCCAAGAGAAATGCAGCTGAGAAATTTCTCGCCAAATTTAGTAACATTTCTCCAGAGAACCACATTTCTCTAGTAAGTCATAGCAGACGGTTAGGACCCTAATGTGACTGAGCATCTCCAGCTGCAGGGAATGTCCCTGCGTTTCTAGTATTGACACTTCAGAGTTGCAATTTTTAGAAATCTCTGCTGTGTTGGGTTATGTGTGACTCCAATTTTTGTTGCCTCCTGTACGTGAGCTAGAGTTGGTCCAGGTAAGAGGTTCTGGGAGACACAGTAGATTCAGAATATCAGGATGGGATCTGAAAATGAAAGCTCAGCCAGGAGTGTGACTTTAGAACACTTTGTGCTTAGCACGCAGTGGGTCCAAATAAGCAAAGTAACAAACGGGCCAGTGGTGCTGTTTTTATACATCCATTCCTTTGTTTGTTCGTTATTGGCCCTTTAATGATCATTTGGTGAGCTTGCACAGTGTCAGATACTGTGGGACAATGCACGGCAGGCTTCTGCCTCTAACTAGTTTTGGCCGGGTGAAAGAGGCCAGGATGCTACAGATAGTCCAAGTGGAAGGCGGTGCAAGAACATGAAAGAAGGCATCCAGCCAAGACAAGGGTTCCAGGAAGGCTTCCTGGAGGAAGTAGACTCTAAGCTGAGACAAATGGGACGAAAGTAGGGAAGTAAGTTTCTGAGCGAGGATGGCAAGTGCAAAGTCACAGAGTAAAACACCGCTATGTAGTCAAAGAACCATAAGAGGTGGGTAGATCCAGATCATAGGGTAGAGGAGGGAATTCTCAAAGAGTGAGGCCAGGCAGGCAGAGAGAGACCATGTCTTAAAGAGATTACCATTTACACTGAGGGTGCAAATGTGTGCAAACTCATTAATAAATTTTATCTTGGCAGGGGAAAAATCTAATTTGTTTGTTAGAATGGGAAATCACCTGGTTGGATTATAGGGAATAAATCAATATTAGGGCCAGAGAGCCCCCTAGAGTGCTATTACAGAAAGCAGATGCAATATGATAATGTAAACTAAGGTGGGGGCAGAGGAAAAGGTAGAAATTAGTGTACTTTCAAATTGCTTTTAGAGGAGCTGGAGAGATGGCTCAGTGGCTAAGAGCACCCACGGCTCTTACAGAGGACCCAGGGTTTGGTTTCCAGCACCCACGTGGTGGCTCAACTACAGCAGTGTCCTCACAGGGCTTATAGTTCACTTATGGGGGGAGAAAGAAACAATCATTTCAATAGATGCTAAAAAGATATTTGTAGCAGGCATAACTGATTAACAAATATTGAAATCGTGGTTACATGTCTCCACATTATAATCATCTTTAATATAAAAAATAAAATAAGGAAGAGGTTTTATTTGACCTTGTTCTAGAAATATTAAGACTATAGTTTAGATGCCAGGGAACAGAATGAAGTGGGAAACAGGTGAGTCAGAAGTGATTACTAGATGCAAAGAATCTGATTATGTGCCCGGGAACCCCTGGGAAGCTGGGCGCACAGTTAGGAGATGGAGGTAAGAGGATCAGAGGTTCAACGCTGCCTTTGGCTGCACAGCAAGTTCAAGGCGTCCCTGAGCTACATGAGACCCTGTCTCAAAAACAAAACACCTATTAGAAACAATGACAGAATATATCGTTAAATTAATGTCCAAAACCAGTAGTTTTCACATTCTCTAGACTTCAGCAAGTAACAAGTAGAGTAGTTAAAAGAGAAGGTTAAATTTATTGCTTTGGGGAAAGAGATGAAGGTAAGAACAGAGTGAGACAGGGGACTGCCCTCTTTTCACACTTGTGTGCTTTGGAACTTTTTTGTCCACGTGTAGATGTGCATAGACTAATAAAAACCTGAGAGCTTGGGAGCTGGCTCAGTTGATGAAGTGCTCGCTATGCAAGCATAAGGACCTAAGTTCAGAAAATCTAGCACTCATGAAAAGCCAGGCACAATGGCCAGTAATTTCAGTGCTGGGAAGACAGAATCAAGAGAACCCCTGGGACTTGCTGGTCAGCCAGTCTAGCTGAATCTGTGAGCTTCGGGTCCAGGAGAGAGACTCAGATGATAAAGTGGAAAGTGATTGAGAAAGATGCCCAAAGTTGACACATGTGTCGTCATGTTCTCACATGTACTACATGTACACATGCACACATATACCAACACACACATACACACACATACCCCAAAACAAATTTTAAAAAACTTTCTGGAAAAATAGAAAATCTATTATGAAAAAAGGTATACTAGAAAAAAATCAATTATTTTCTTATTTATAAAGCCAATAACTACAGTGTAAAAAAATTCATTTTCAATATTAGAATAGAAATGTGTAAGCATTCACAAAGGAGCACTTGAAAACCCTGCTGAAGAATATAACAGAAATTAGATTAATTGGCATTATTTCTTCTTTTCACATAGACTTGATATAGTAGATACATAAAATGTAAGTTGTGTTACTCTAAATATACCAGAATTCAGTTTGGACCTCAGTAGGACTTTACTAAGCTTATCTGGAAAAAACAAAAAACAGATCTTTCTTGAGCACAGCTAAGAACCCTAAAAAAGCAAGAATTTGAAGTGGGCCAGGGTGCTTGCCCTCCCAGAGAGTAAAGCAAACTATGAAAGTATAATGACACCCGTTCCTGGTGCAGAGCAGAACAGAATTCGGAGCAGGTGCAAATGCACAGACACCTAGTGATGGCAACAGCGATTTCAGGTCAGTACAAAAAGGGATGGTTCAGCGATGGTGCGGACCGCTGACAGCCCTGCGTGAGGGCGCCAGATAGTGTGTTTGTATGTGGGTCGTCATGGATGTAGATTGCTCATCCCCATACCAAAATAAACCTCAGATAGGTCTAAGATTGAGCATAAATAAAACGGTAAGTACTAGAAAACATGGGAGGTCTTTTTAAAAAATCTTAGGTGTGGAACATCTTTTTCTAACTATAATGTAAAATCTAGAATCTGAAAGCAAATGAATTTGACTAGAACATACGTTACAGCCAAAATTCTATAAATAAGAGCAATATAACTAAAACAAAGACAGAAGTCAGTGTTCATACATGTAAAGTCCATGCACATCAATTAAAAAAAGGGGGGCCTGTAGGAAATTACAAAAGAAAAGAGAAAATATTCTGTTTATTGATGCAAAATAAGATATTTTTATTTTTTAAGTTAGTGAAAGCTTAGTGTTTAATAACTAACTGAACTAGCTGATATTAGTGAGAGCGTAAAAATACAAGCACCTTCAGTTGGTGGGTATATGGATTAGTTCAGAAATCAAACAGGAAGTATTTCTTGCATTTGTTTGGATATGTGGTGGGGGCAAGGTGCATTTGTATGGAGGTCAGAGGGCAGCCTGCTGAAGGAGTCGATTCTCTTCTTTTGCCTTATGGGTCTCAGGCATCAGATTTGGCATCAAGAGTCCTTACCTGCTGAGCCAAGTTTCTGACCCAAGTTGGAAGAACTTATCAAAATAAAACCATTTCTGTTGGCAGTGTCTCTCTTAGACCTAATGCTGGAAAGAAACTAATCTGGGTCCTCTGGAAGAGCAGTCAGTGCTCTGAAGCCTTGAGCCATCTCTCCAGCCCTGAGCAGTGCTTTTTTTCAGTTACACTGGTGCTGATGTTGGAACAGGCCCAGTTAGGAAACTAAATCTCCCTTCATCTCTGCTTTTTAGACAAATGTGGTTGGACATTCTCTAGGATGTACTTGGCATTCATTGAGGAATTCCCCTGGTGAAAAGATCAACTTACTGAAAAGAAGCCTCCTCAGTCTCCCGAACACAGACTATATCCAGCTGCTTAGCGAGATTGCCAAGGAACAAGGTTTTACCATAACCTATTTGGATATAGGTATGGTTTCTTGTTTATCCTAACAGGTTTTATCTCATTCCCTTTTGTTTTATTGTTGGTTGCTTTTGGGACAGTCTTGTGTATCTCATGCTGACCTTGAATACCTACCTGGCTTTTCGTTCACCACCCAAGTGTTGGGATTGTGGGAACAAATGTCACTATTATGTCCCATCTCTGTAGATTTTCATACAGTTTTAATTTTAATTCAATTTATATACCAGTTTAGTGTGTGTGTGTATGCATGTATGTGAACACATGTACATGTATGTTTAGTGTCTTGATTTTAGCATCAGAGCAATGTGAGCATCCTTGTTGAGTGAGATGTGGAGACCTAGCCTGTTAGAGCTTCCAGCACTAGACAAGTAGAGCTTGTGCTGAAAGAACCTGCAGTAGTCTCTAAACAGCAGGTGCTGCAGACCCTGGGGAGCGAATGCAGATGAGAGACCATTCCAGAAGTATTTATCAGTGTCCTCAATTTGCTAAAGGCCTGGGCTACATGGAGGACTGAGCTGTCATGACCAGGACTAACAGACAAACAGGATGTGAGATAAGAAGGACACCTATGAGGATGCTTTTTATTACGAGCTGATGATGCCTTTGACACCTTCTCGCTAACTTAAAAAGGGAATAGGTCCAGAGCATCTGGAACTGGCTTTTGACCATCTCCAGTGCAGCTGCTGTCAATGAAAACTGGCAAACGAGCTGGGACGATAGTTGAAAAGCGAAAGAAGCCAGACACAGATGTCTCCTGTATGACCCAGTGAAGTAGTAGAGGTTAATCCATGCAGACAGCACAGGCTGGTGGGCGCCAGGAGTGAGGGGGAGGGACTTGGAAGAATAACTGTCTGATGGGTGCAGGTATCCTGTCAGGTTATGGAAATCATTTGGAAATGGATAGATCTATGAATGTAGTAAATGGCATGGAATTGTTTAGTTTAAAAATAGTTGACTTTATGTCAATTTTTCTTTTAGTGAGGGGGGAAAAAAGTCTTAGATGCAGCAGCTAGAAAGTCCATTCACCCATTCAATAATCCTATTGCTATTGGGATATTGTCCTTCTAACTGATTGACTAATACATTTAATCATGGTCACTTTAAACATCAGTGTGTGTGTGTGTGTGTGTGTGTGTCTGCATGTGAGCCACAGCACGTATGGGATCAGAAGACAGTTTCACGGGGTCAGTTCTCTAGGCCACTGAGCCTTCTCATCAGCCCCCATGACCACTCTAAGTCAGACTTTGTATTTCAAACCTCTTCCCTTCGCTTCACTTCACCATCCTCAGTGAGTGACTCATCAGTTGATGAGAACATTTGTTTCCTGGACTTCTGTGTTGTTTTTGGACACCATCACCAAGACTTCTGCCCAAACTTCAGACCTAAGAACATAAAAGAAAGCAGGGGGTGGTCTTTCCATACATCGAGTTTATTCTGCTTAAATGTCTACCGAAAATGACTTTCTAATGGAAAACACAGTCTTGCCCATTCTTTAGTAAATAGTTCTTGACATGTGCTATGGTTCAGTATTTTGAAAATGCTGTCCTACTGGTCACATTAGAGTTCCCTTGGAGGTATTTTAGAAATGCATGCAGGAGCCAGCTGCCTCTGACCCCAGTCCCGATTTCTGATTGAGTGGGCTAACATGACGTCTAAGCATCTCTTTCAGTTTTCTTTAGGTAATTATGAAATAGTTTGAAACTGCTGCAGCTGACCATGTGGGGAGGATGGCAGAGTTGTCTTATTTTGGCTTGATTTTTTTTTCTGAAGTGTCTTGTTTCATAGCCCAAGCTAGCCTAAAATTTGCTTTATGGCTCAGGCTAACCTAGAATTCGCTGTATTGCTCAGGCTGGCCTAGAACTGGAAACTCACTATCTTCACCCACCTGCTATGGAATTCTGATGTGAACTGGCATACCCCACTCCCTGACTGTGTTCTGTTGTGTGAGCATTAATGAGTGAGGGAGTGTGCTGTGAATGTTTGAAGACCAAAAAAAAAAAAAACCTTTTCTAAATGATTTGCTTTACACATACCCTACACTGACTGTCACATTTACATATGTGTCATTACAGAGGAACTGAGTGCCAATGGACAGTATCAGTGTCTCGCAGAACTGTCCACCAGTCCTATCACCGTGTGTCATGGCTCGGGCATCTCCTGTGGCAATGCACAGAGTGACGCTGCTCACAATGCTCTGCAGTATTTAAAGATAATCGCAGAAAGAAAGTAGGCTCGGGGCCGCTTAGGAGACCTTTCGGCAGCGCAAAACTTCCCCTCGCACCTCTTCCCCAGTAAAACACGTACTGTAATGTATGTCTGCGCGTCCTTTCCAAATCTCTTCAGGTTCCGTCGACTTTCCAGATTTAATTGTCTCCTGGTAGTTGTTATTAAGCTCTTTTTAATGGCTTCCACTTTGTATTGGCATATTGTATTTATAAACTTTGTACCACAAGGGTGAGTGTGGCACCCGTTTTACAGGGTCAGGCACGTAGGATGAAGCTGACGACGAAGAGATAAAAGTACTGCTAGCAACAGTCTTACTGGTGCTTACACTCTCTTTTGCGCAAGGCTTTGTGAAGCGAATTCTGCGTTAGACTAGAGTGTTGAGGGTTGTGTTGAATGTCATTGCGAAATTTCAGGGAACATGGTTGGTCTGCTATGTATTTGAACCATGGAATAAAGAGCTGTTCTTATAATGGGGCCTCTGCTCATTTTATTAAATAGCTACTCATTTGATCTTAGCTCTATTCTTTGTAGGTGAGCATTCTTATGATCATTTTAATCAGGATACCTTGTTATCTGCATGTGGCTAGCTTACTGCGGAAATTCAAAGGTAAAATCCTATAGCTGAAGGAAAAGCTGCAAATGTATGTGGGCATCACTGCTTGACTTTTTTTTCTAAGCCTATGCAACATTGTATTTTCTTTGACATAATCATCTGTAGATGAATTAGTAGTTTAAAAAAGCATTACTGCAATTACAAAATACAAAAAAACCCCACAGAAACCCTTTTCGGTTCTCTCAAGATTTTCACAAAAATATTTCAAAGACAAGATCTGATTGAAAGCTTAGAAAAAGAGCTGGCGATGGCTCAGTGGGTACAGGTGCTTACTGCTAACCTTGACAACTTGTTGGTTCCCAGAACCCACATGGCGGAAGGAGAGAAGTGACGCCCACAAGCTGTCCCCTGACCTCCACAGGTGTGCTGTGGCACACACAAAATCTATCTACACATTAATGTCAAAATAGACGCGTTTGAAAAGTTGTAGGGAAAGATTGGAAAAGGTTAAAATCTTAAGTGTGTGATGATTTAGTCCCTTGAGGGAGTGTTGTTGACATTCTACCAGACTTCTTCATAATTGCCGTAGCTGGAGAGAGCCACCAGTTGGTCATTCTTTCTAGGGCAGCCTGCATTCAGAGTCGCCATACTGCCCACATTGGGATAATCCAACAGCTCATCGCACTTTCCAAGTACCCAACACACAGGGACAGCTGAGTCCGCCTTGTGGGTATTTTGTGTTGTTTTGATTTGACTTTGGGTGTTTGAAACAGGGTTTCTACATAGCCCTAGCTGTCCTGGAACTCACTATGTTGATCAAGCTGGTCTTGAACTCACAGAGATCCACCTGTCTCTGCCTCAAGTGCTGGAATTGAAGGCATGTGCCACTACACCCTGCCAGAGGCTGCCTTTGTGATTGCACTGTATATCCCCATTTCTCCTTCTGCCCCACGGGGCTTCTTTTCCTGCCAGGGCTAGCGTCCCCTAATCCATTCTCTAATTTCACCTTCAAGTTTGCTTCTTGGGAAGCCCAAGCTATGATGCTTGAAGAAGTGACACAAGAAAGGAGAACCAGTGGAATTTTGTACCTCATTCTGCCACCTGGCTTACAGGATGTGCACCCCACTTGGTGATGGTAAGCAGAGCCCACAACCCCTAGGATGCTGGGGTAGCACATTTGTTACAACTTTTACAAGTAGTAAGCTGAGCTTCCCATACAGTGGTAGGCACCATGTATCAGGTGACTGAGAAATAGCGACGGGACCAGCATCTAAGAATGGTAGGTAGAATTGATCAGCTTATTGCTAAGCGCTGCTGCAGCCTTGAAAAACATGGTAAAATAAGAGTGATTTAATGGCTGTGTCAGAATCCCTAACCAAAGGAAAAAAAAAGTTATTTAGTTCAGGGTTTGAGAGATTTCAGTCTAAGGTCAGTTGGACTCTTTGCAGTGGACTTGAGATGAGGCATGATGGGGCGGTAGGAGAAGGTAGCACCAGGTGAAGGCAGGAAGCAGAGAAGAGTAACCAGAAGAGATAAGTGCCAAAGTCACCCTCAAAGGCACAGCTCCGGTGACCCGCTTCCTCTGCCTGGGTCCACCTCTCACCTTCTGCCTCCGAATAGTCTATTCAAATGTTTAATTCATTAGTAGATTAAACCAATACATGTGGTTATAACCTTCGTGATTTCATTGTCTCGGGGAACCTCAGAGACACACGCAGAAGGCTTTAGTCACCTCCTATATATTTTTTCAATGCAGCCAAGTTGACAAAAATAACCGTCATAATTGGTCACTCAAAGTTTTGTGAGGAAGCCGGAGGGCCTCCAAGGAAGCCTAGGACCAGGCCTAGAACTAAATAGTGGAAATATCAGGAGTTTAAAGAATTTAAAACTAGCTAGTTAAGTCTGCAGAAACCATGACCTCTGTTGGGAAAAACAAGGATTCTTTGGCCTCTGTGGTGTGGGAACAACAGACCTTGGCTGGAAACCCACTTCTCCATCAGCCTGGGAACAGGCAGCTGTGAGACAATGTTTACTGAAAACAATCCAGTGCCCTAAGAAATGTTTACCAGAGCTATAAGTTCCTGATAACGGCCATTTTAGACTCCTCTATTGAAAACTCTCTATTTAGTTCTGCAGCCCACTTTTTAATAGGGTCCTTTGGTGTTTTGGAGACTTGCTTCTTGAGTTCTTTGTAAATTTTGGAGATCAATCCTCTGTCAGATGTGGGATTAGTGAATATTTTTTCCCATTCTGTGGGCTGCCTTTTTGTCTTGCTGACTGTGTCCCTTGCCTTACAGAAGCTTCTCAGTTTCAGTAGGTCCCATTTATTAATTGTTGATCTCACTGTCTGTGCTACTGGTGTTATGTTCAGGAAGCTGTCTCCTGTACCAATTCGTTCAAGGGTACCACCCACTTTCTCTTCTAAGAGGTTCAGTGTGGCTGGATTTATGCTGAGGTCTTTGATCCATTTGGACTTAAGTTTTGTGCATGGCGATAAACATGGATCGATCCGCATTCTTCTACATGCCAGTCTCCAATTATGCCAGCACCATTTGTTGAAGATGCTTTCTTTATTCCATTGTATATTTTTAGCTTCTTTGTCAAAGATCAGATGTTTGTACGTGTGTGGATTAATACCCGGGTTTTCAATTCGATTCCATTGGTCTACCTGTCTATTTTTGTGCCAATACCAAGCTGTTTTCAGGACTATAGCTCTGTAATAGAGCTTGAGGTCAGGGATGGTGATGCCTCCGGACGTTGCCTTGTTGAACAGGGTTGTTTTGGCTATCCTGGGTCTTTTGTTTTTCCATACAAAATTGATTATTGTTCTTTCAAGGTCTGTGAAGAATTGTGCTGGGATTTTAATGGGGATTGCATTGAATCTGTAGATTGCTTTTGGCAGGATTGCCATTTTTACTACATTGATCCTACCTATTCAAGAGCATGGGAGATCTTTCCATTTTCTGAGGGCTTCTTTAATTTCTTTCTTTAAAGATTCAAAGTTCTTACGATACAGGTCTTTCACTTGTTTGGTTAGCGTTACCCCAAGGTATTTTATGTTGTTTGTGGCAATTGTAAAGGGTGATGTTTCTCTGATTTCTCTTTCAGCCCTTTTATCATCTGTATATAGTAGGGCTACTGATTTTCTTGAGTTGATCTTGTAGCCTGCCACTTTGCTGAAGGTGTTAATCAGCTGTAAGAGTTCCCTGGTAGAGTTCTTTGGGTCATTGATGTAAACTATCATATCGTCTGCAAACAGTGAAAGTTTGACCTCTTCCTTCCCAATTTGTATCCCCTTGATCCCCCTTTGTTGTCGTATGGCAATAGCTAGAACTTCAAGTACCATGTTGAAAAGGTATGGAGAGAGTGGACAGCCTTGTTTTGTTCCTGATTTTAGAGGAATTGCGTTGAGTTTCTGTCCATTTAGTTTGATGTTGGCTGTTGGTTTACTGTATATAGCTTTTATTATGTTTAAGTATGTCCCTGTTATCCCAGATCTCTCCAAGACCTTTATCATGAAGGGGTGTTAGATTTTGTCAAAGGCTTTTTCAGCATCTAGTGAGATGATCATGTGATTTTTGTTTTTCAGCTTGTTTATATGGTGGATTACGTTGATGGATTTTCGTATGTTGAACCATCCCTGCATCCCTGGGATGAAACCTACTTGATCGTGGTGAATGATTGTTTTGATGTGTTCTTGGATCCGATTTGCCAGTATTTTATTGAGTATTTTTGCATCAATGTTCATGAGGGATATTGGTCTGAAGTTCTCTTTCTTAGTTGTATCTTTGTGTGGCTTGGGGATCAAGGTTATTGAAGCCTCATAGAAAGAGTTTGGCAAAGACCCTTCTGCTTCTATTGTGTGGAACACTTTGAGAAGAATTGGTATAAGCTGTTCTTTGAATTTCTGGTAGAATTCTGCACTGAGGCCATCTGGACCTGGACTTTTTTTGGTTGGGAGACTTTTGATGACAGCTTCTATTTCCATAGGGGTTATAGGTCTATTTAAATTGCTTATCTGTTCTTGATTTAGTTTTGGCAAATGATAGCTGTCCAGGAAGTCATCCATTTCCTTTAAATTTTCGAATTTTGTGGAGTACAGGTTTTCAAAGTATGACCTAATGATTCTCTGGATTTCCTCAGAGTCTGTTGTTATGTCCCCCTTTTCATTTCTGATTTTGTTAATTTGCGTGTTCACTCTCTGCTGTTTAGTAAGTTTGGACAAAGGTTTGTCTATCTTGTTGATTTTCTCAAAGAACCAACTCTTCGTTGCATTGATTCTTTGTATTGTTTTCCTGGTTTCTACTTTATTGATTTCAGCCCTCAATTTGATTATTTCCTGGCGTCTACTCCTCCTGGGGGAGTTTGCTTCTTTCTGTTCTAGAGCTTTCAGCTGTGATGTTAATTCTCTGGTATAACTGTTCTGTTTCTTCATGTGAGCACTTAGTGCTATGAACTTCCCCTGTAGCACTGCTTTCAAAGTGTCCCATAGGTTTGGGTATGTTGTGTCTTCATTCTCATTGAATTCGAGGAAGTCTTTAATTTCTTTTTTATTTCCTCTTTGACCCAGGGATGGTGCAGTTGAGCATTATTCAATTTCCATGAGTTTGTAGGTTTTCTGCAGTTTGTGTTGTTGTTGAATTCTAATTTTAAAGCATGGTGGTCTGATAAGATGCATGGAGTTATTCCAATTTTTTTGTAGCTGCTGAGGTTTGATATGTTGCCAAGTATGTGGTCGATTTTTGAGAAGGTTCCATGTGGTGGTGAGAAGAAGGTATATTCTTTTTTATGTGGATGAAATGTTCTATAGATATCTGTTAATCCCAGTTGGGTCATTACTTCTATTAGACCCTTTGCTTCTTTGTTGAGTTTCTGTCTGGTATTCCTGTCTAGTGGTGAGAGTGGTGTGTTGAAATC